TCAGCCTGAAAGCTGTTTAACTTTCCATTAAAACTCATCTGAATGCTTTATGACTACAATCGACAGGATCTCTTCCTGAGTCTGTGTACTGGTGTGAACCTCAGCTGGTTATCTCTGAGACCTACATCACCAATCACCCTCATCCTAGGCTCTGGATCCTGCAGGACATCTGCATCTCATTGCTCTATAGACACTTCAAACCCAACAGGTTCAGAACAGAGACAATAAAAAACAATAAAGCCAGACTCTGCATTCACTGAGTTTTCCAAGCTAAGAAAACTTCATCGCCTTTTTTCAACTAATGGATTTTGGAGCACTCTCAACCCATACCTTCCTGGCTGCCCTGTCCTCTTCGTTGATGCTGTTTCTTACTCCAGATCTCATCTGCTCCATCAGGAGTACCTCAATAGCAAGCTTGGCCTACCTATCTGATCAACCTCCAAACTCACCCCGCTGCCTTTTGCCTGGCTTCATTCAATGAGGCCACCACACAGAACCATCACGGTGTAATCTTGTCTAATTACTTCCAACCCTTCTCTGGCTCTCCGTTGTCTCTAGACTCAGTTGTAAAGTCCTTACGCACAGATTCTTCCCCATAACTGGTGTCAACAGACTCATTTCCCCCCTGAATCATAGCTTTACACTGGGTATTTGTTAAAAATACATGCTACTTCAGAGAAGAGACTGAGAAAGACAAATACCCCAAACTTCTCCCACTGGAAGACAGTCTCCTGGTTCCACTAAAGAGTGATGAAATATGTCCACTTTTCACGAGACCAAAGTCGACAGACATTAGAAACATGGAGCACACCTCTAAAGATTAGAGAGGCCGACCTCAAAATTGGAGTCTGCCTGTTAGCCTTGCCCTCATATAGACATTGCTACTGCAGACTTTGCAAAGATGGCTGAGTTTGTAGACATGAAGATGGAAGAAATGGTGCGACCATATTAGCTTAAAGAATTTTCTTCATGAAATAAAGCATTCTAGAAAATTCAAAAAAAATTACATGCTACTTCAAAGTATTAAAAATACTTTCAATACCATATTCTCCAGTGAAAGATTCTGCCGAACTGAACTTAATCACTCATTTCTTTATTCCAAGTCAGGGCCCTGAACCCCTACACTTACCTAGCAATTGCAGTGATCTAATGTAACAAACACCTGTGCTCTGAGATTTTCCTTTTCTAGATTATTTTTAGCCCAACCACCCATCTCTGTACCTCTGACTTTAGTAACTGGAACACATTTCTCAAACTTACCGTAGAGTCACACAGATTCCTGGCTCTCATTCATACCTTCCCCCAGCTTGGCAAACTCCAGTCATCCTTCAAAATCCAATTCAAATATGGTATTTGATTCAACCTTTTCTATAACCCTCCTCCCTACCACATGTAGAATAATTGTTTCTCATCATTGTTTCCCATTAAATTCTGTTTATCCCTCTATTATCATACTAAAACTATAGTGACTTTATTTTATTTGTTTTGTTTTGGGACAGATTTCCCTACTTAGCCCCAGCAAGTTTACAGAATTTCATGGCCGCCTGCCTTAGTCTTCCAAGTGCTGGGACTAGAGGTATACTCCACCAAGACTGGCACATTTCTTCTCTTGCATCTAACATTTAAGTCACAGTTTGAGAACAGGTATTTTAAACTTCTTACTGAAAAATAGACACATCTTATATTGCTAAGATAATGCCCTAAGTGGCTGGGAGTTTAAAAACAAGAAGAATCCCATGTCATTCACCAGAGGAAAAAAAAGTTTTACATAATAATTAAATTGTAGCTTGGACGTGCCTCTATATCTTGTAATACCAGTTTTTCTGTCTGCCCCTCCTCCTCCTTTCCTCCCTCTCTCTCTCTCTCTCTTTCTCTCTCTCTCTCTCTCTCTCTCTCTCTCTCTCTCTCTCTCTCTCTCTCTTTCTCTCTCTCTCTGTGTGTGTGTCTGTCTGTCTGTCTGTCTGTCTGATCTGAAGTTCATAAAAATTCTGTCTTTTAATATCTGTTGGATTTCACTGTGTCTTACAGAATTTGAAACTCATATAGAGCAGAGATTGAGGGCTGAGCTCAGTGTTACTGCAGCCTGGCAGCCTGGCACCTCTGCTACTTGAACTGGTGGCAGGCAGGTTACTTGGTTTCTCTATGCCTCTCAGTGAGCAGCTAGTGATGAAGCATCCCTCAGTGGTGCTTAGTTAGACCTGTAAGGTCAACAAATAAATTTTCAGTGACTTCATTATGCAGTATATGCTTGAAGTTGGTTTTTAAAATAGTTTTAGATATGCACAGGGGCAAACACTGCAATCCTAGCACTCAGACCTAGATAGAATTACTGCAGGTTTGTGGCCAGCCTGAGCTATGTAACCTGGGTTATATAGCAAGAACCTGTGTCAAAAAAAAAAAAAAAAAGTTTCAAAACATCTATTCTCCCACTGAATTGTTGAAAATGTTTAAATAAAACTCTTTTTCTGTAAGTGGTTTTTTTTTTTTTTTTTGGAAACAGGGTCTCACTATATAGCTTGGTTAGCCTGAAACTCACTATGTAGGCCTTGACCTCATAGAGATCCACTCGCCTCTGCCTCCCATGTGATGAGATTAAAGGCATGCACCATTACACTAGGCTGAAGATTTATTCTTATTTACAAGTATGTATGTATGTCTATGTGAGCATATGCTGCACCTGTGCGGTTGTTCTTGGAAGGCAGAAGAGGGTGTCAGATCCCGTAAAGCTGGAGTTACAGGCAGTTGTAAACTACCAGACATAGGTACTGGGAACTGATCTCAGGTCCTCTGGAAGAGCAGCAAGTACTCTTAACCACTGGGTCGGGTCTTCTCTCCAGCCTCACAAATACAACTCTTAAAAGAGCACAAAATTATTTACTCCTTGTAATTTCCCCTCTAATCCTCCACTAAATTCCACTGTGGTGTACAGTACTCTAACATCCCTGTCTATAACATAAGGATCACTACAGATCATTTAGAAGTAGTAGGATTTCTGGCTGTGGGTGTGGCTCAGTGGTAGAGTACTTGTCTAGTAGTCACGAGACAGAACAAAGCAAGAGAAAAGAAGGGCCGATGAGATAGCTCAGCAGGTAAGAGCGCTTGCCACTGAGCCTGAGTTCAATCCCCAGAACCCATAGGATGGAAGGAGAAAATTAAGTCTCACAAATTGTCTTCTGACCTCCATACACGCACCCTGTGTGTGTGACCTGTGTGCCCACACACATAATAAATAAATGTTATTACATTTATTAATTTGTGGGGGGAGGCAATGTGTTGGGACACATTTGGAGTCAGAGGGCAATCTGCATGAGCTGGTTCTCTCCTACAGGTCCTGGGGATTGAACTCAGGTATTCGGACTTGGCAGCAAATGCCCTTACGCCCCCAAGCCATCTCTCTAGCCGGGCAATATGGGGAATTTTTTACTTTGTTTTGTTTAGCTTTGTTATGGAGTCACATGTATCCCAGGCTGGCTTCAAACTCACTATATAGTAAGGAGTGACCTGAAGGTCTGAACCCCAGCTTGCACCTCTCGTATGCAGGGGTGGCAGGCGTGAACTTCCATGCCCAGTTTACAAAGTCCTGGGATTGCACCCAGGACTCTGTGCATGGTAGGCAAATATACCACCAACAGCTACATCCACATCCCTAATTATAAATTTTAAATAAGAAAAGGGAAAAGACTACCTACTGCTCTCAATCAAAAACACTGATATTTCCGCATCTAAAAAAAGTCTATTGCCACATTCAGCAGACTAATGAAAGGCCATGAGACACAATTACTGCAGTTCCTGGTTTCTGCCTTTGAAATTACTCCAGATCACCCTTAAGTATCCCTAGTAGAAACCTCTTGGTTACAGACTATTATTCCTTTTTTAAACTTCCCATCTCCCCCTAAAAATTCATACACATGCACCCACAAGTAAAGGACACAAACGTCTATAATAAAAACTGTACAAAACCCACAGCCACATATTAACTGTTTTAGAAGACTCAGATCTTCCTATAAGCAGCCCCTCAATTTACAAAAACAAATGAAAGTCTTGCTCTGAAGCAATACTCTCAGCTCACTTTACCAGATATCTTCAGCTTTGACTACTTATCTAAGGCCAAGTAAGATTCTTTGATTGGTACAAACTTCATGGCACATGATTCCACAACAGTGTACAGATAGTATGCTATTTTAGAAAAGTTCATGACTCAGTTAAGAATAGATTCGCTCTTCAAACAATGGTGATTGTGTGGAAAACAAGCTTAAATGACTTATTCACATAGTAGGTAGAAGTTAGGGCTTTATCTAACATACTGTAGGCGAATCAGTAGCTTTGAGATAAAAGTTTACAGGGCACCTACTGTGTGCTAGGCACTTAGTAGTTTTACAGACTATACATGCTCCTGGGTGCATGTGCATCAAACAACAATGCCTGACATTTGCAGAACGCTGTCACGCCTCTCCTTTGACCGTGAGAACAGCCATGGGCGTCCCAGTTTTATACTTAGGGGAAACAAGCTGGGAAAAGTTACCCTGGCGGAGGTGCGACGTTTTGTTTGCGGGTCTGAGCTCCAGAGTGGAGCCTTTTGACTCATAATCTAATCATCATCTTCTCTCCTGGTTACTCCATAGTCGTACTTCCAGTTCCACTCCTGGATTTTTAACTTAAAAAACTACTTGACGACTTCCACTGTTGAGCTTGCCAGGCTGTTTGGAGGCAAAGTGCGCGCATACACACTTTCCCGCTGTTTGAAGTGCTCCGTTCGGGCACGTCCAAGTTCAAGACCGCCTGAAAGGCGCGTTTCCTCCCGGCGGCGAGCGCCCCGGCTCCTCGGCCCCCGCCCCGGCCCGCGCCTGCGGCTCGCTCGGAGGCTGACACCCGTCTTCCCTTGGCCCGAAATGCCCAGCTCCCGGCCGACCACGGACACGCGGGACGCCCGTGGGGCGACGCCAACAGCTGAGCGACCGAGGACCCACTGCCTCACTCCCCGGCCGCATCCCGTCGCCTACCTGTCTGGGCCGCGACACCGCCTCTCGCAGGGATGGGACACTCGCGTCCGTGGCCTCTGGGCTCCAGCTCGGGCCTCTTCGTCCCGCCCCCGCAGGTCCGCAGGACCCGCCCTCTGACACGCCCCTTCTCGGTCTGGTCACGCCCCCAAGCCCATCCAGTAGGCTCCGCCCCTCCCAGGTCCCTCCGCACTGCCCAGAACCCACGCCTGGCGGTCTCCCCGCCCTCGGCTCTGGTGCGCGAGAGTGCACGTTGGTTCCACGCTGCGACCTTGGCTCAGGCCCGGAGCCAAAGCTCTATTTCCGAATCTGCAGTCGGACTGACCCCACGCGACAGACCCGCATCGCGAGGGAGAGCCTAGTTGAATCAGGAACCAAACAGTACCTCCTTTAATAAAACCATAAAGCAGCTCAAGGAGCAAACATTCCCCGGGAATGTTTGTTAGTAGAGAGATGCCAATAACGCACCTGGCCCCGGGTTTGGAATCCCGAGCCGGATGCCTTTGATGCCCACTCCCGGTGCCGACCCGGTCGCCACACCCGGTTGAGACTCACGCTTAAGCGCTCCCGCCTGCAACACGATCTTGCTCAGGTATGCACATGGCTCTGTGCCTGCTGCAAGAGTAGCCCAGTTTCACTCTGCGAGACTGGGACGAGTGGAGCCTAGTTCCCAGTACTGTCTAACCGCCCCACCCCACCTCTCCCTGCCCCACTCCACCCCACCCACCCCATCCGACCTTGTGTCTGGTAACCAAGTTTTCCTCGCTTGTTCACACAGAGGTACCAAAATAGAAGACTGCCACAGAGAGGTGTTTGATTACACATCGCAGATGACTGTCACCAGCCAACTTAACCAAGACAAAAAAAAAGCAGCATGTCCCAATCCGTTGTGAAGCCATGAGGTAGGGACAATAAAAGGATTACTTTCTATGGTGAGAGAGAAGAATGACAGAGCTTTTAAAAAACTCTCGTGAGGAAATAAATGTGAATCTTGTTTGGAATAAATTGTAGACACTGGTCTTTATGAGCTCCATTGCTCCCTTACCTAAAGTGTATGTCTTTTTGTTGTTGTTGTTGTTTCGAGACAGGGTTTCTCTGTGTAGTTTTGGTGCCTGTCCTGGATCTCGCTCTGAGACCAGGCTGGCCTCGAACTCACAGAGATCTGCCTGGCTCTGCCTCCTGAGTGCCGGGATTAAAGGTGTGCGCCACCGCCGACCGGCAAGTGTACGTCTTTATACATAGATGTGTGTTATTATTTTTTATAGACAGGGTCTCATAGTGTAGCCCAGGCTGGCCTGCCTCAAACTTCCTATCCTCCTACCCCTGCTTCTGGATTGCCAGCATAGGCATGAGCTATCACAACCGACTTTTAATCTAATCTGTTTGGAAAGTATCCCAGATAAGTTGTACAAGATGAAATTTGGGACTAAAACAGTATTTTCGAAATTTCTGTTTTGACCTTTGCATCCAGGAAGATTCTTTAGTAGAATGAAGGAGACTGGGGATTCGAGATGAGTGGGATAAATTAGTTCACGTGTGTATTCTACTGCCCTCTCATGGGTAAGAGGGAGCTGGATCTAATAGTGAGTGTCCAACTACCATTTAAGGCTGAGAAGAATATTTAGTGATTTGTATTACTTTGGTGATTAGGAAGCCAACATAAATCAGGTTCTTGGCAAATAAATACTCCTCAAACAGAATTTTTAACTTCGGAAATCAGGAAGAGGAGTCACACCACACCTGGTACAGACATGTCCTCAGGGACACACCTAAGCTCACAGCTAGCTACCTGTGCAGAAAGTGAAAACACGCAGGCGTTTGCTCTCATTACGTTCTGACATGTCTTGAGGGGTTCCCTTTTTCACACCTCTTATAGCCTCAAGGGTGAACAATGGGAAAGCAGAATGAAAATCATCTTTTTGCTTTTGGTGTCTAAGGTGGTGTCTGATGGTTTACATTTGATCTATGACCACTTTTTAAAGTACCCTGAGTGGAATATCAACTGAACCACTAGATGGCCACACAGTGTGCGTGAACAAATGTAATCTGGGTGACCAGAGCATCTCCTGACCTGAAGTACCTGGCATCTCTATCCTTGTCTCTGTCTCTGTCCCTCTGTCTCTGTCTCTGTCTCTCTCTCTCTCTGTCTCTTTGTCTCTCTCCCTCTGTCTCTGTCTCTGTCTCTCTCTCTCTCTGTAGACAAGAGCCTATGTAGCTTTGGCTGTCTTGAAATTCACCATGTAGACCAGGCTTGTTTGAACTCATAGAGATGTGCCTCCTGAGTGTTGGGACTGAAGGCATGTGGCACTCTACCTAGCAGGCATATTTCTAACAAGTCTCATAGGTCTCCTGCTTCAGCAAGCTAAGAATTCCCTGCTAAATCTTATCTTCCCTCAGTACTATTCACAAATGCCCGATTTTCTAAACTTTCACATAACTGGTCTGACTTCGCCTAAGAACGCCCCTATTGATGTAAGCTTTGTCAAAGAACTTTAAAATGGAGCCAGGTGCCTTACCAAAGCCCATCTTCTCTCAGCATTGAGTCATTGGCTTGTGTCCTTGGCTACCTCTGATAACTGTCCTGCCTGAAAGTCGTGCAGGCTCTGGAGTCACACAAATTTATGTCCCCACTGCTGCCCCTCACGAAGACTGTCTTAAGGACATTCATTATCTAGCTAACTTACATTTGCTCGTTATCACCAAAACAGAAATGATATCTACTGTACAAAGGTGTGAAAGGAACTGAGCAGATGAAATATCAGTGAAGCGCTCAGTATAATGCTTGGCTTATTTTAAGAGTAGGGTCTCAATAATTATTACTATAGGATTCAAACTCTCAATGAAAATCCCACTCACAGTGTTATTCAGTTTATTTACTTTATTTATTCTGTTGGTTTAAGACCCTCAGCAATTAAATTGAGTTCATAACACCAAGTTTCATAACGATAGGCCATGCGAATTTGAGCAACATTTGTCCTCCGGATATCATTTCCAACAGGGCCTTCCTCAAGGTAATTGTTGCCCAGAAACTTTGCTTTTTCCTGTAAGACATTGGGAGGAGAATGCTTAATGTCTCTTTTCACACCAAGCTAGACAGTGATTGCACCCCCCACCGTAATCCTCAGGTTACTCATAAACCAAAGGAAAAACAGTGGCCTGTTCATTGAGTGCCTCTGGGTGCATGTTTTCTGAGAAATCAAATGTATATTATTTCCTGAGAGACAAGGCCAGAAACTAAAACTCAAGTCTACCTCGTGAGAAATTCCACACTGCAGAACACTGTTCCTCGCCACTTCACACATGTCGCAGGTGCTCAGCTTGAAGACTTGGGCAGCGATGGCATATTCTTCCATCAGGGGCTCCTGTAGTTATTAGTGTAAATAAGGAGAGGGGGTGGGTTAGTAAAAGAAGCAGTGCACATCCTACATAAAGAGAATAAAGAAGTGCCTTGATCTGACTCTCGGTTTCCGGGTGGGAGCGATAGCTCAGCAGGCACACTCGTGTGGCACGGGCTCCCGGCTCAGCAGGCACACTGGTGTGGCACGGGCTCCCGGCTCAGCAGGCACACTGGTGTGGCACGGGCTCCCGGCTCAGCAGGCACACTCGTGTGGCACGGGCTCCCGGCTCAGCAGGCACACTCGTGTGGCACGGGCTCCCGGCTCAGCAGGCACACTCGTGTGGCACGGGCTCCCAGCTCAGCAGGCACACTTGTGTGGCACAGGCTCCCGGCTCAGCAGGCACACTTGTGCTCCTCAGGCTTTCGTGTGTACCTTGGTGAAATGGAACTGCATAGGGTCATCGGTCGACAGTGAGATCATCAGGCCTTTCTGGAGGAAATCCAAGAAAGGATTTTTTGCGTATTCGAGAAACAGACTGTTGTTACTTAATGGTGACATGGCGATGGGAATCTGGGCTAAGAAAAACAAGTACTGTAACACAGGACTCTGAAAAGAAAGTGAAAGTCACAATGAGGACAGTGAAAGGGAACAGACACTAGAAACCTTAAAAATCCCATGGGCAACCTTAGGCTTTAGCTTTCAACAAAGGTATCTTAAATCTCCTAGAAAGTGATTATAATCTTTCTTTTCTCTTTTCTCCTCCTCCTTCTCCTCCTCCTCCTCCTCCTCCTCCTCCTTTAAATGTGCATTGGTGTTTCGCCTGCATGTGTATCTGTGTGAGGGTGCCAGATTCCCTGGAACTGGAGTTACAGACAGTTGTGAGCTGATGTGTGGGTGCCGGGAATTGAACCCAGGTCCTCTGGAAAAGCAGCCACTGCTCTTAACCAGGCTGATTATAGTTTTTCAATGTAAATACTTAAAATTAAATGTTCTGGTATTGCTTTCAGAAGCATTGGGCAAAGTCAGTTCTTTTAACCGGAGTATTAAGTTATCAAAGTTAGATAGTCTGATCTGGGCAATTATAGCTCAAGAAAGTCTCCCCGAAACCGGCTTTTTTTTTTTGGCTACACCAAAGTTATGACTATCACAAGAGACATTTTAATGCAAGCTACAACAAGAAACCTGGCAAAAAGGAGCTACAGGGAAGCCAAACCGCTCTGACTTCACCTGTCAGAGTTCTAAGATGGAAGTCAGATGTGTGTTCATTCATCTCTGAGGGCAACTAGCGCGGTAACCTTGAGAGAAACCCTTTGCAACTCTCCGTAAAATGAGCTCCCTAAGTAACCCCCAAAATGCTTGATGCTCAGTGAGCCTCGTTTCATATTAAGGGTACTAAAGACTCAGAGCGGCAAAGTCGACGCTGTTCATGTTTCAGCCTTGCAAAGCTGGGTAGCAACCCAGAGAAAAGGCAGCCGTGGCTGCTGGGAAGCAGTGGCTTCCATAGTCCCTGGTCATGAAATTGTCCTGCTCGCGTTGTGTCACGGGTTCTCCAAGGAGTTCCGCTCTTTCCCAGTAGTCTAGCATAGTCTAGCATAGTCCCAACCCAAGTTCCCCATCCTCCTAGGGCCTGAGATCCGCCCATCCCTCCTCTCTCCTGATACCTTGGGCTTTTCAACCCTGAGGAGGAAGTGCAGAGCATTCAGGCTATCAGATGCCAGCTGGTAGCTAGAGAAGATGGGTGGAGTATTTCCTCCTTATCCTTGATTCCCTGATGAGCTCAAAATACAGCTCATACTGAAAATGGACCTAATGATTTATTTGTTACAGGCTCTAATATAGAATTGAATTGTTATTGCTATTAAGAAAACACTCTGGCCAGGCATGGTGGCGCATGCCTTTAATCCCAGCACTTGGGAAGCAGAGGCAGGTGGATCTCTGTGAGTTCAAGGCCAGCCTGGTCTACAAAGTGAGTTCCAGTATAGCCAGGTCTGTTACACAGAGAAACCCTGTCTCAAAAAAAGAAAAAAAAAAAAGACTCTAAGCCAGATGTGCTGGTATTGACCTGTAATCCCAAATCCTAGCAGTCAGAAGTAGATGCAGGAGGATTGGGAATTCAAAATCATCTTTAGCTACATAGCAAATTCAAGTCCAACCTGGGCTACATGACACCCTGTCTCAAAATTAAATTAAATTAAAAAAGCTTCAAACTCACCTTCTTTAAATTCAGGCCATGAGAAATATTGTCTGCAATCATAAAGGCTGTCATGAGGTGGGTGAGAGCTCCTGCCTCCCCACAGTGAGGGCGGAACAGAAACGTATTCATGCCTCGTTCCCTGTGAAAAGGAAAGTGCTGTGGGAACCCCAGGTTCTGGGCAGAGATATTTACAAGAGCATCCCTTGGCAGAGTTAATACTTGGGAAGGGAACAGCCACCAAACAGATCCAGCAAAACATCATCGCAAAACCTCATTATAATTCTTACTAAATACAAACTTTTTTTTTTTTTTAAGAAAAAAGAGGCAGCGGGGGATATGGTGGGACATGGAGGCAATGGAGAATAGAGTACCCCACGCAGGGACATCTTCGGTTTCAGCGCGTGCCTCCCTGGATACCAGGCACATACCTGGTCCACAGACATACATGCAGGCAAAACACTCATACACATAAAATAAAAATAGTTAAATCTAGCCGGGCGGTGGTGGCACACGCCTTTAATCCCAGCACTCGGGAGGCAGAGGCAGGAGGATCTCTGTGAGTTCGAGGCCAGCCTGGTCTACAAAGTGAGTTCCAGGAAAGGCGCAAAGCTACACAGAGAAACCCTGTCTCGAAAAACCAAAAAAAAAAAAAAAAAAAAAGTTAAATCTTTAAAAGGAACTAAAAAAATAAATAAATAAAAAAGCAAGAGGCAGCAATGTGCGTCTGTGATCCCAGGACTCCTGAGGTGAGGAGGAAAGCTGGACAAGACCTGCCAGGAACAAGAGAGGCCCTGCCTCAGTAACCTGGAGAAAGGGAACCGACACCTGAAAGTCGTCCTCTGGCCTCCCCGGGTTCTCTCTGGCGCCAACACACACACTCATACATACACTGGCAAGCAGATGCATCATCAAAAGACAGTCCTCCAGCCCCGTTTCCCCTGTACTTACTTCCTCAGGCTGTTGAGCACCGTGATGTTTGCGTACATGTAATAGGCGTAGTAAGTATAAGACGGGTTGTTTTCCATTGTCCACTCCTCAGGCTTGGGACTCTTGGAGGAAAACATGTGACCACTGTGTTTGGACTCATCATCCACACTGTCAAAGCCAGTGATCTGTCAGAAAAGGGAGCCATGCCATGGGTTCAGTCTGAGAGGCTCCAAAGGGGAGGTCAGTATAAAGATCAGAGAGACGGTGGTGGCCAGCGAGGACAGCTGTCCCATGAGAAGGAGCAGAAGAGCCCAAAGGGTCATACTTACATGCTTGAGAAAGACACTGAGGACTGGGTGAGCTTGGGGGTTGACGGTGGCCTCAAACACCGGAAGGAAAATATTCTCCAGCATCTTTCCAAAGTGTGGCAGGAAATTCTTGGATCGGAACACATCACTAAAGGCAAGAGGGAAGGGAAGTTTAGGAGGAGAGGAAGCGTAATAGGACCCACTGTGTGGGAGCCAGAGATGTCACGTGTCAGAAAAGGACCTAGTGTGTTCATCCTGCACCCACGCCCCGATAGTCTCCTTGCATACACGTGAAGAGGAGTTTGGGTTGGGCTGGGCATTGGACCACATACCCCAGCTCTTCTATTAACTCCCTGTGGCAAGAAAACTCAACCTTTACAACCAAGTCCAGCTATGAGGAGTATGGTAATTGTACCATAGGGAGCTCATCGATCAAATACACGTGTGGTCACGGACAGATGTGGCTCAGTTGGCAGAGTGCTTGCCTAATGTGCACAAAGCCTTGGGTTCAGTCCCCTGAACCCCACAAACCAGACAAAAATGGAGCATGCCTGGAATTTGATAATTCTGGGAAAGTCTCTCTCTCTCTCTCTCTCTCTCTCTCTCTCTCTCTCTCTCTCTCTCACACACACACACACACACACACACACACACACACACACACACACACTTAATCTGTGGTAACAATAAATTGTACCACTTTATATATGCCAGAGACTTTGTTTTCTTGTTTTTGTTTTTTTAAGGTGGGGCTTCTCTGTGTAGCCATCTTGGCACTCACTCTGTAGACCAGGCTGGCCTCAAACTCAGAGATTTTTGCCTCTGCTGTGATTAAAGGCTTGTGCCCCCACTGTCCAGCACCAGAAACTTTTCTAAACAGCCAAAAATATTAGCTACATTAATCCTCATAACAACTCAATACATTAGGTCCCATTTTTAGGTATTTTGAGAGATCGGAACTCATGATCTGAGCTTCAGGGTCATGTGGCAAACACTGCCAGCTGAGCCATCTCTCCAGTCCCAGTGAACGAAACTTTGCATTGCCAAAGGGCACATGGGCAGCTTGCCAGAGACTACGTGAGCGTGTAAGTTAGATAAAAGATCAATGATACTGCACACCGGAGAGAAGCCACCCCTGCAGGCAGGGGGTGACTGAACATACCGTGGGAGGGAGTATACGTCCTCAGCAGCCCTACTGACAAATGCTGATGACAAAGAACTTGGGCTCTTGTGGGTGAATCAGCCAGTGGTGGTAAAGTTTCGGATACAGGACAGCTATAATTGAATTCTGACATGGTGGCACAATTCTGTAATCCCACCATTCAGGAGACAGAAACAGGTGGATTATAAGTTCAAGTCTAGCCTGGGCTATATAGTGAGGCCCTGTCTCAAAACTTAAAAAAAAAAAAAAGCCAGTGTAGCCCCTTCAGGAAAACTGACATTTATTTAAATGATCTATAGCTTTCTGGTTCTGGTTGAGAGGAGAACAGGCTTGAGAGCCTGCCCCCCATGGGGAGGGGCAAATACATACTAGATCCTGGGGACTTGGATCATCCATGTCATGTTGGGGCAATAGATGCGGTTGCAGACAAACCAAGAGGAGAGTCTGCTCCACTCATCAGGACTGCGACCGTAGATGGACAAGCGGGGCTCGGCATGCTGGTACTTGGCCTCCACCAGGTCCGCACCCACCTCCTGTAAAGCCAAGAGAAGGAGCTGAGGCCAGCAATTCCCACAGGTCCCCGCAGAGGACTAAACCAGTGGGATGTAGGGAGAGGAAATGTATCCTCCAAAGAGCTGTGGAAATGTGAAAGGGAGTGAGACAAGAAGTATCGAAGACCTAAGGGAGCAGAAGAGACTCTGTGAGGACAAAGACTCAGAAGATATGACAGAGACTGGGGGAAGGGTCAGGCTAAGGATGATGAGGTAGCCATGGGGCCTGCAAGACAAGTAGAGCTCTGTGTACCCCAGGACACAAGCCCTGGCCGCACATGCTACCCTTGCTTCTTAAAACACAGCATCACAAGAGATGCTCCTAGCTCTGCCCAAACCTCAAAGGCCAGGCTCTTACCCCCTAAATCACACCTTAACTTCTCTACCCTAGAAACAGAGGCATTTCCCCAGAGATACCTCCCTCCCTCCTCTCTCTCTCTCTCTCTCTCTCTCTCTCTCTCTCTCTCTCTCTCTCTCTCTCCCTCCCTCCCTCTCCCTCTCTCTCTCCCTCCCTCCCTCCCTCCCTCCCTTTCTGCCTCTTCCTTTTTCCTGCCTTCCCTTCTCTCCTCCCCTATTCACGAGCCATACTAAGTATTTGTTACTCACCTTGATGATAGTGGCAAAATACTCCCCGTTAATGTGATTGTCTGTTTTCAGGTAGAGGTCTCGAAGCTCACTCGCACCCACAGGGTTGTATTTGTCGTTGAATTTATCAAAACGTTGGAATGTCTGGCGTCCCTGAATCAGGAAAGAAGAGCAGTTTTGATTACCAGAGCTTCCTGGACACAGAGTCCTGGGAATGACCAGGTGGAGCAGGGGGCTGATCTCAGGGGAAGAAGGATAGGCTCCAAGACTGAGGTTCGGTGTGCGTGATAGTGGGTAAACCTCGAAACTCATCAGGGGTGCTTTCAGTCATCACAGTAGCCAAGGTAGTTAAGAGGGCTGCACTGAGGGAGGGAGGGACCGGGACATTTGGGGTTCTGTGTCATTAGAGCAAGTAGAACTAGCATCTTTCCAACCTACAGCATGAACGTCCAGGGAGTCAACAGTCAGGTCATACGGATGCATATTTAATTTAGCAAAAAGTTCCTTTAGAGTCAGATCCTTTTCTTTAGTGCTGTGGACCACTCTGTCGGCATCAATCTGGTAAGACTTCTTAATAAAGCGCAGCAGATGCTTCTGGTTCATGCAGGCGGCTGCATGGATGTGAGTATCCACCTATGTACACATTCAGAGAAAGAAAAACCAGCAATATATATATTTTATACCACTATATATACTAGTATATATATATCTTTATGCCACTGTTAGTGGGCACAGTGCCTGCAGATCCCACTGAGGAAGGAGAAAGAACAGATAGTGATGTGAACTGATAGTTGATGGAGGTGGCCCAGGAGTAAAGACCTGTTTGTGTCCTCTCTGCATCTGTGCGAGAATGTGAGTGGTTTAGCTGGGTGCAGGGATGATGTTTGCTCCTCCCAAACATCAGCACACCCAATGTGCTTCCTACATTTGAAACAATTTTGTTTTTGTTTTTCGAGACAGGGTTTCTCCGTGTAGTTTTGGAGCCTGTCCTGGATCTCACTCTGTTGACCAGGCTGGCCTCAAACTCACAGAGATCTGCCTGGCTCTGCCTCCCGAGTGCTGGGACTAAAGGCATGCACTACTGCCCCTATGCTGAAACAAAATTTTTATAGCTCATTCTCTACCCCATAAATACAATTAGAAGCAATGTAACTATCATAGCTTTTGCACCCAAAGAAATTAAGATTGAAATCATGAAGCTTGTTGGCTACACTGGCACATGCCTATAATCCCAGCCACATCCCAGCCCTGGGGAGGAGGAGGCAGGAGGATCAGGAGTTTAAAGTCATCTTCAACTATACATCGAGTTTGAGCCAAACTGAGCTACATGAGACCCGGCTTCAAAACCAAACGAAGTTAGAGCAGGAGGCTGGCTCAGCAGGCAAAAGCATTTGGCACCAAGCTTGATGTCCGCAGAGAGCTGACTCCTGAAAACCGCCTTGGTACAATGATGATGAGGTAGAAACAGAATTTATAAATATAATATTATTTGTCTGTTTCAGGCAATTTCATGTAGCCCAGGCAGGCCCTGACTTAATATGTAGCTGAAGATGACTTCAAACTCCTGACCCTCTTGCTTTTACCTCCCAAGGGCTGGGATTTCAGGCAAGTAGTCCATGCCATTATTTATTTTTATTTATTTATTTAGAGACAGACTTTTACTGTAAATCAGACTGGCCTTGAACTAACAGAGATCCATTGCTTCTGCCTCCCCAGTACTGGGATTAAAAGTGGGCCACCACACTTAGTTTATCATGCCCAGTTTTGCTGTAATCCCAGCATTCAGGAGACAGAGGCAGGAGAATCACTGTAAGTTGGAAGGCAGTCTGGTATATATAACGAGTTCCAGGCCAGCCAGGGCTACACAGTGACCACGTCTCAAAAATCAGTAGGTAAGGCTAGAGGGATAGTTCAGCAGTTAAGAGAGCTTATTGCTCTTGCAGAGGACCTGAGTTCAGTTCCCAGCACATTGTAGTGCACAGCTGCCTATAACTCCATTTCCAGGGGATCCAATACTGTAGACCCTGAGAGTACCTGCACTCAATGTACACATCTCTCCCCTCTCCCTTGCCTAAGTACATACTCACATACTACTTTAAATAAAATTAAAAAATGTAAAGGAATCATTATTTTTAAAAACAAAATAAAAACCTATTAATAAACTTATTTTTGCTAGACTAAGTATTTGCTCAAAATTTGACAGTAGCTAAGCAAGACTTGAGCCTGAAACATGGCTTAGATATTTCCACTTCTACTTCCTTGAAATCATTTGCAAGATCAGAACATATATTGGAAGTGTTCCTGACTGAGTTTTGCAACCTTATGTAACTCTGTTGAGCAAACCTATTCCTCAGCTTTACAAATCAAAACACTAGAACTCATATGCTATTTAATTCTTCACCCCAAGTTCGATAGTCAGAAAGCAGAAGACAGTGAAAATGATGCTCTCCCAAGCTTGAAGTAACTCTTGAAAGTTTTGTTGTTTATTCTTTTTTTTTTTCTCTCTCTCTTTTGGTTTTTCGAGACAGGGTTTCTGTGTAGCTTTGGAGGCTGTCCTGGAACTCACTCTGAAGACCAGGCTGGCCTCAAACTCACAGAGATCTGCCTGCCTCTGCCTCTCCAGTGCTGGGATAAAAGGCGTGCACCACCACCGCCCGGCTTGTCTTTTATTCTTGTTGGCAACAGTTAATTTATTTTTGCAGCATTACCCCCCAAACCAGGACCTTGCACACCTCAGGTTGGGCAATTGCTCTCCCACTGGGCTGCTTCTTCTTAGTGATAATTTTCCTGTGTCAAGTGTCATCTTCTTGTCCTTTTGAGCAAACAACAGAATGGCACTTCAAATCTTCTCCATATGATCTACCTGCCTTCACTACAGTCCTTGCAAACTGCAGAAGCGGTGCGTTCATCAGTAAACAGCTTCTTGCCCTGAAGAAATCAGGCATGGCATTTCCCTGGGGAGCTCTGAACTGGGTGCACTCACCTTTCTGCAGTTATAGAAGTCCCGATGGGGGTTGTTCTTCAGCTCCTTCAGCTCATCCATCTCGTTCAGCATCTGATGGACCTGGAACTTGGAGGAGAGGAACTTCAGACGTCGGTGAGCATAAGTCTTGCTGTGAAAAGTAAATGCACAGGATTCTTAAGTCTTTCCAGACAGGTAAGGAAAATAACAATTTCGAAGCTTCCAGGACTCTCTTCACCCACAGGAGGAAACGGTTGTGGGAAGAAATACTGTTTTTTCCTCCACAGTTAGTCCAGCTTAAAGTACCCAGCTTTTCAGCCAAATTGGACATAATATTGAGGGAGGACTTGGGAAAGCATTTAAAAATCTATGGGGACCATGTAGGTCAAAGGCTAGGTCCCTGACTGTGGAGCCAGTAGACTGGGCACCATCCTGCTTCAGCACTGTGTGAGACAGAGTTGGTTACTCAAGTCCCTCATCTCTCAGATGCTTCAGCTTGTTAAGCTGTAATTAAAGCATCTCAGGGTATGGTGGGGGTGGGGACGTGCCTCAGTGGTTAAGAAGACCTGAGTTTGGTTCCTAGAATCCACCTCTGGCATCTCACAACTCCATCTGTTACCACCAGGACAGGGGATCTGATGCCTCTGGCCACCATGGGGTCTGTACTCACATGCACATACCCCCATACAGACACTTGCCTATACGTGTAATTAAAAAAATAAAATAAGCTGGGCAGTGGTGGCGCACACCTTTAATCCCAGCACCCAGGAGGCAAAGGCGGGTGGGTCTCTGTGAGTTCAGGACCAGCCAGTTCTACAGAATGAGTTCCAGGACATCCAGGGCTACATAGAGAAACTCTGTCTCAAAAAAAACAAAACAAAGCAATATTAATAGTAATAAAATAAATCTGAAAGAAAAAGAGAGTATATCAGAGTAGGGCTATCGCTCAGTTGCTGAGTGCCTGCCTAGCATGTAAGAAATCTTGTGTTCGATCCACAGCACTGCATAAACTGAGCATGACGGTGCAAGCCTGTGCTAGCACTTGGGAGGAAAAGGCAGAGGGATAGAAGTTCAAGGTCAGCCAGGACTACATAGCAAGTTTGATGTTAGCCCGGGCTGTTTGAGACACTTCAAATAAATAAACAGATGATGGATGGATAGATAGATAGATAGATAGATAGATAGATAGATAGATAGATAGACAGATAGATAGATAGGTTAGGATATATAGGTAGATAGGTAGATGATAGGTAGATAGATAGTTTAGGATAGATAGATAGGTTAGGATAGATGATAGATAGATAGATAGATAGATAGATAGATAGATAGATATGATAGATGATAGGATAGATAGATAAATTGATAGATTGATAGGATAGAGAGATAGAGTGATAGAGTGATAGAAAGTAGATAGATAGATAGATAGATAGATAGATAGATAGATAGATAGATAGAAAATAGATGTATTGCATAAGGCTATCGCAAGGAATAAAGGATTTTAATGTAGTATTTTAACATAGTGAGTATGTGATGGCATTCTTACAATCATCAATAACACTGGTTACTGATGTTCAGATCTCAGTTAACACTTACACAGGCCCTTGTGCAATTAGAGCAAGCAAAAAATTCATGTCATCCAGGAAGTCTTCCAGATTTGGGTAAGGGTAGGGCTTAGGCTCATCTCTGCTGGCTGCTGCTTCATCAGGGTAGATATAAATCACACCACCCTTCATCTTGAGGTGGTAGCCCAGGTTTGCAGGAAGGTCCTCTGTGCGGAAGGGGTCTTCTCCCTTCTTCGGAGGAGGGGTAAAGACTTTTTCAATAAAACACAGAGTAATATATCAGTACATAGGACAAAGGACCATGGAAATATAACCCAAATAAGAAATATTGAGATATCTCATTAGTTTGTCATCTCAAATTCATCAGTTATAATTATACAGCTTTATTAACTTGTCTTTTTTTTTTTTAAGACAGAGTCTCACTACGTATCCCTAGCTGTCCTGTAACTTTCTGTGTAAACCAGACTGACCTCGAACTCACAACGATCCTCTTGCCTCTGCCTCCTGAGTCCTGGGACTAAAGGTGTGCGCCACTGTGCCTAGCCTCACTTGTTCTTTTTTTTTTTTTTTTTTTTTTTTTTGGTTTTTCGAGACAGGGTTTCTCTGTGTAGCTTTGCGCCTTTCCTGGATCTTGCGCTGTAGCCCAGGCTGGCCTCGAACTCACAGAGATCCGCCTGGCTCTGCCTCCCGAGTGCTGGGATTAAAGGCGTGCGCCACCACCGCCCGGCGCCTCACTTGTTCTTAAATGAAGCTTGTTTTCACACTGATTTTTCAAAAGTGACTAAGTGGGTAGTATAAATAACTTATAATATTTTACCTAGAATAAGAATGATTTTCAAGTTATTTAGAAGTAGTATTTATGTAATGTAATTAATATACTACTTACAAATACATTTTTTTAAATTTATTTTTGAGACAAGGTCTCATTATGTTGTCTTGGCTGGCCTGGCACTTGCTATGTAGATGAGGCTAGCCTCGAACTCACAGAGATCCACCTGCCTCTGCCTCCTCAGTGCCAGGATCAAAGGCGTGTGCCGCCACTTCTTATTTCTACTTACTCATGTGTGTGTTTATTTAGATAGTTAGCTTTGGAGATGGGGTAGAGTCGGATCCGTGAGACTGGGTCTCACAGCCCACACTGGTCTCCAACTTGTTCTGTGGCTAAGGATAACCTTACACTCCTGATTTCTCGCTTCTACCTTCAAGTGCTGGGATTCCAGGCGGGTGTCGTCATAACTGGTGATGGATACTTTTAATTCCCTGAAATTGGTCAGCACAGGCTTCCTGCTTAGAGCAGCTTATTGGCTTATTAAATAATTGCATAAAGTACTGATAAAGTCCAGTTTAAAATAGGATACAGACTGTTACCTTTTAAAAAACAGTGTCCTTAGCCGGGCGGTGGTGGCGCACGCCTTTAATCCCAGCACTTGGGAGGCAGAGCCAGGCGGATCTCTGTGAGTTCGAGGCCAGCCTGGTCTCCAAAGCGAGTTCCAGGAAAGGCGCAAAGCTACACAGAGAAACCCTGTCTCGAAAAACCAAAAAAAAAAAAAAAAAAAAAAAAAAAAAAAAAAAAAAAAAAACCAGTGTCCTTTATGAGTCTTAACTGTTTTGTTTTGTGCGAGGGTCTTGCTCTGCTGCTCGGGCTGGTCTCAAGCCTTCCATTCCTTTGCTTCAGCCTTCTAAATGTTGGGGTTCCAGGTATGTATCCATCCCTGGCAAGAGGGTCTATTTTATGTTGTTTATTTGTTTGTTTGTTTGTTTTGGTTTTTCAAGACAGGGTTTCTCTGTGTAGTTTTGGTGCCTGTCCTGGATCTCGCTCTGTAGCCCAGGCTGGCCTCAAACTCACAGAGATCCACCTGACTCTGCCTCCTAAGTGCTGGGACTAAAGGCATGGGCCACTGCTGCCTGGTGGCATTACACTTTTGTAACCCTGGCATTTGGGAGGTGAAGGCAAAATGATCAGGAGTTTAAGGTCATCTTGGTTATATTAACAAGTTCGAGGCCAGTCTGGGCTACATGAGCCCAAAGCCAAAAAAAAAAGTTATAAATCTAAATGCCTAAAAATAGGAATTGACTAAACCAATTGTGATACAATTATACAACAGAAATATTTAAAATTGTTGGAATCTGGTTATTAAATTTTGTAATTATATGAAACAGACCTGCTGAGGAAAGTCAGGACATTAGATTCTTTTTTAAGTTTTATTTATTTATTTTTACATCTATTCATATGTGTGAGTATATGTGCATGTGTGCCATAGCACACGTGAGGACAACTTGTGAGAGTCTCTTCCCACCTTGTGGGTCTGGGAATCAGAGTCAGGTCTTTAGGCTCAGCAGAAGGTCCCCTCTACGCACTAAGCCATTTCACCAGCCCTGTAGATTCCTTTTATACAGAGGCCAGAGGCAGGTATGAAATGATGGAGTATGGGCTGCACCCTGAAAGCTTAGGTTGACTCTAGACATGCCGATCTAGCTACACAGAGATCTAGGAAGGCTTCCAACTAAAGCTGAGGGGGAGATGCAGGCCTGTAATGCCTGAACTTGAGAGAGTAAGACAGGAGGTTAAGACTCAAGGATATCCTCATCTACAGATCAATGTTTGAGGCCAACCTGGGTAAACTTGAGATCCTGTCTCAAACAAACACTCCAGTCCATAACAAAGGCTAAGGAGGATGGAGTAGAGATCATCAATGTAGAAACAGGTTAAGTGAGCAAGTAGGAACCTGAATGGCTGCAGTGCCCTTTGGATGAAGGCAGGTGATACGGACTGGCTCTGTAGGAGATGGGGAGCAGCGGAAGGTTTTTATCAGGAAAACAACGTGCTTGGATCTGTGTTTTAATAACCAACATAGAAATGAGGGCGAAGCAAAAGACAGTGAGACCGAATCACAGCCGAGTAATTAGGACGCTTTCATAACCACTGAAACACGGAAACACACTGGCCTAAGCTGGGGTGTGAAGCCACTAAAAAAAGAACAGATTGAGAGGTACTGTAGGGACAGAATCAGTGACTGACATATGGGCCGCAGGTCGGGGCCAATGACAACTATGATACCTTAAGGCTGGGTCACTGAAGAACATAGGTTAAAATTCATATTGAGTAGGTAAGCCAAAAGCTATATTCCTCACATTCATGAGCAAATAGGTTACCTGGATAGAAGCTCTCGTTTGCTACCAAGGCTTCGCCGTCGATGTTCCTCAGGTACTTGGAGGGCGTCTTGGGGAACCTCTGGAATGACTTCTGCATGTATTTCTCCCGTATGCACAACGCCCGATAGAGACCTTTACAAACCACCTCAAAGTCTTCAACTGTTACCTACCAAGAAAGTGTCAGAGGTGAGCCTGTGAGAACCTGGGAAGTGGTCAGGCTGAGCTCTTTCCTGTGTGCTGTGGTCCTGCTGAGCCTCTCCTGGCTACCTGGCTGGTTCCTTCTGGCCCAGGACTCTGGGACTCTCCCTAGGACCGACTCCTGGAGTTTTTCTACCTCTTTTATTACTCTACCATACCTTACCTGCAATAGGAATCTTTCCTATGAATTTTGCATTTGTTTCTGAGGTTTTTGGTTCTAAGACTCAAAATCCAAGGCCAAATCTCTATCATTGCATCTCCAGGACCTGTTTTGGTTTTTGCTACATAGTGGTTATCTAAATTTAAAAAAGTGATTAAAAGAACTGATGGCTTTTTTTTAATCACTGTTTTTGTTTGTTTGTTTTTTTTAGCTTATCCCACGAAGTAGTGGGTTTCATCATGACATCTTCATATGTGTCAATATATTTCGTTCTTATCCGTTTCCTTTGCCTGTTACCCTCCCCCGTGCCCCCTCTTCCTACAGCTGCACCCCTTTCCCATCCAGTTAGTCTCCCTCTGCTTTCCTATTGCATGTCCTCTACTTCCTCCTTCTCTTAAGATCTCTTCCCCCATTTCATGGTCCCTTTTCCAATTTCTGGTTTTGTCACACACACACAATTTTAAATCTAGGTTCTGCATGTAAGAAAATATGGTATAATTGTCTTTCTGAGTTTGGTTTATTGCACTTAACATAATGATTTCTAATTGCATCTCTTCTGAAAATGTCATGATTTCACAATTGATAGTGTGTTGGGGGGGGGGGGGGTAATAGGTGCATATGTTCCAGGTATGTATGTCCAAGGAGGACACAGGGTGTCCATCACTCTCTGCCTTATCCCTGGAGAGAGGGTCTCTCACTGAACCTGGAGCTAGTCTGGCAGCCAGTGGGACCCAGAGACCCTCCTGTCTCTCCTACACCCAGCACTGGGGTTACAGGCAAGTGTGGCCATGTCCAGCTTTTTACATGGGTGCTGGGTATTTGAACTCAGCTCCTTCCTCTTTCACTTTAAGTGGTCTGACTCACTGAGCCTTCCCCAAAGCCCTGTGATTTCATTTTTAAGAAGAACCCGTTCTAAGCCGGGCGGTGGTGGCGCACGCCTTTAATCCCAGCACTCGGGAGGCAGAGCCAGGAGGATCTCTGTGAGTTCGAGGCCAGCCTGGGCTACCAAGTGAGTCCCAGGAAAGGCGCAAAGCTACACAGAGAAACCCTGTCTCGAAAAACCAAAAAAAAAAAAAAAAAAAAAAAAAAGAAGAACCCGTTCTAACACTGTATATGCACTCTTCCTTTCACATGACATTTGCACATTGTAAGTGCAAACCTCGGAAACTGGGTGTGATGGCCCAAGTCTACAGTCCCAGCACTTAGGAGGCCGGGGCTGGAGAAGAGCACTGTAATTTCAAGGCCAGTCTGATCTGCACAGACATTCCAAGACAGCCAGCACTATATGTCAAGGTCTTGTCTCAAAACAAAACAATAAAATGTAAATGGAGTCCAGTATCTCAGACTGTCAAGATATATTGACTAGGGGTCAGCAGTTGTTGAGTCGGGTCAGGGTCTCACTTTATAGCTGAGGCTTGACTTCCCAACTCCTTATCTTCTTGCCTTAGAGACAAGGTCTCATGTAGCCAGGCAGGCCTCCAACTTACTATGTAGCCAAGGATAGCCCCAAACTCCTTATCGCCCTACCTCCACCACCCAAGTGCTGTGGTTTTAGGTCTGAGACAACATGCCTATCTTTTTTTGTGGGGGAGGTGTTCAAGATAGGGTTTCTCTGTAGCTTTGGAGCCTGTCCTGGAAATCACTCTGTAGACCAGGTTGGCCTTGAACTCAGAAAAATCCTCCTGTCTCTGCCTCCCGAATGCTGGAGTTAAAGGTGTGAGCCACCACTGCCTGGCCAACATGCCTATCTTAAAAAAAAAAAAAAAAAATGTTTTGAGACTGTCTCACTTTGTAGCCCTGGCTGGCCTCAAATTCCTGTCTCATCTTTCCGAGTCCTAGAATCACAGGCATGTGTCCCCATACCAAGCTTCTTTTAGATAGCCTTAGAGAATTTTATTTCTGTCTAAAAAGAGAGAGAGCTTCTAGAATAAAACTTGGTTTGAGCAGCTGGAAATTCCCTGCCTCACCTCCTATATTATCAGACCCCAAAGACCTTCTCTCTGAACACAGCACAAGCCTGATCCCAAAGGCTGGAGATACAGACGACAGATCCTGAGCAGTACGTCTATTGAGAGCTCGTTTCGAAGCCTATGGGGGAGCACAGCTGCTGTCCACGCTTGTCTGAAGAGGGATGCTCCTCTGTGGCAGATCCTCTTACACTGAGTGTGCACACATGTGGGATGGCACACACATATGGAGCTGGTAAGGAAGGAGACCCCCAGCCAGCCAGCCAGATCGGCACATGAACCCTGGCAATCAGCAGGATGGCAGAAACCACAGCCAGACAGCTCCCATCCTGTTAGATTGCTTTGAAAGATAGATGCTAGCTTTAGCCCAAAGAGCCTGGAGTAGGTCCTAAATCTCGGGGTCAGCTTCCAATGACACTGTTCTACTGCCATGTAGAGCCGTGGTAGACCAGTGGCCCATCAGCTCCTCACAGGCAAAGGAGCTCATGCACCCCCATTCCCCAGCCCTCAGCACGTTAGCATTCAAGGCCTTAGCAATTGGCCTCAGTAAGGGCCAATTAAATTGAGTCAATTGCTCATCAGGTTCTAAAGGCCCAAGACTTTAGACCTGAGACAACCCTCTCCATCTCTGTTTACATTTCAAGGATGCCCCTGTTGGCTACAGAGCACAGCCATGTGGAACATTGCTCAGCAGCTTAGCCATATTCAGCCGCTAAGTGAAGCAACAAGACCCTGGGCCCAGGTTTCCGATGTGGGTCACGCTTCCCTGACTTCTGTGCATCATCTTCCTTTCTGTTTCTGTTCTCATGTCTACCAAGCATAGAGATGCCAGCTTTGCTCCTGATTTTTAAGCCCTTTGAAGCCTGTGAAGTCTGTGCTTCTCATGCATATACCATTTCGTTAAACATTTCACGTCCGTTCTTTGATGTCTGCCCCTGCCCTGCTGTTCGCCCAACACCCTGGCTACCATACTGAAGAAAATAAACAAACAAGAATGACTTGCGTTTCAGCACCCTGAGCCTGGGGAGTATCTTAGGCAGTTACATGAGAAGGGGGCTCAGTATTGATTCTATATTTGGAGCAGAGACTGAGGGCTTGATTGCAGTTCCACCAACATGATGCTGATACTGCAAGTCTGTGTGGCAGAGATTTATTAATTGGCAAGCAGGACAAATTGTTAGTGACATGAGTTCAGCCTCCCTGTGACATACTAGAATCCATTCCAAGCAACATCTGCTGTGTAAGCAACTGTAATGAACCCAGAGACTTTTATCTGGCCTAGAGACAATGGTCTCATTGGAATTTTCCTTTTTAAAATGTTTATTATGTGTGAATGTTTTGCATGCATACATGTGTGCGCACCACAGTTGTGTGCACAGAGGTCAAAAGAAGGTGTCAGATCCCCTGGAACTGGAGCTCCCGACAGTATGAGCCACCATGTGGGTGCTGGGAAGTGAACCTAGGTCCTCTGCCAGAGCAACAAGCGCTCTCGATTGCCCAGCCATTCCTCCAGCGCCCCCTCCCTTGGATTTTCCTTTGTTTTGCGCATGTGCCATGGTGCACATGGAAGTCAGAGAAAATTGCAGGAGTTGGTTCTTTCCTTCCACCGTATGGGGCCTGGGGATTGAACTCTGGTTTTCAGCCTTGGTGGCAAGCGTCTTTGCCTTCTGGGCTATCTTGAGATGCCCTCGCCCCTCATCCCCTCGCCTCTGTCCTACTTTATGATGCTGTCCACAAGAACGAACTTCTGTTTGTCGCAGCCCTCTTTGTTCAGTCTGTCCCCTGTAGCCTGGGCCACCCACAGTGCTGTGTGGGATGATGCAGCAGCACAGAAGCATGACATTCAGCATTGGTACTGCAATGGGGATGGAGCATGGCAAAGGAGGTAGGCTGCCTCTGCCTGGACAGGAAGGAGGGTGGCACGGAGCTACAAGTGTCTGGCTGGCTGTGCAGACATCGGCACAGCAAGCACAACTCACCCCAGAGGCGTAGTCACCAGTGATCTGCACCCTCTGGAAGTCAGGCACACTCTCGTAGGTCGGGGATGAAGAAATAAATTCTTCGATGTGGGACAGTTTGGTAGAAGATGTTTCACTTTGTGGAACGGACAAATTAACAGTCTTCCGTCCTTGGAAGCGCCTTTTCCTTGAAATTAACAAACAAAAGGAATTAGCTTGCTCTCAGAACGGTCATTGTAATAGACCAGTTTTCACCATGCCAGTTTATTTTGAGGCAAAAAAGGTAAAAACTAAAATATGAATTGGGTGTCAGAAGCAAGATATCACCATAATGGAAGAAGAATGCACCAAACAAATATGACGGCTTCTTTTAGAGCAGGGGACCTGAGGGAATATACTAGAAGGTCTTCACCATGACACCCTTCTTTCCCAAAGGTCTGGCAGGAATAGAATAGGCCATCCAGCTATTACAGTGAACACAGGTAATGGCAGCTATGGCCTGTGTCATTTTATTCATGTTCCTTAAATTCTGAGCTTCCATCTCCCTAGTAGTACAGAACCACAGCTTAGAGACACAACTTAGAGCCACAGCTTAGTACCACAGCTTAGAACCACAGTTTACCACAGCTTAGAAACGCAACTTAGAGCCACAGCTTAGAGCCATAGCTTAGTACAGCTTAGAGCCACAGCTTAGAGTCACAGCTTAGAGCCACAGCTTAGAGCCACAGCTTAGTACCACAGCTTAGTACCACAGCTTAGAACCACAGCTTAGAGCCACAGCTTAGTACCACAGCTTAGAACCACAGCTTAGAGCCACAGCTTAGAGCCATAGCTTACCACAGCTTAGAACCACAGCTTAGAGTCACAGCTTAGAGCCACAGCTTAGAGCCACAGCTTAGAGCCACAGCTTAGTACCACAGCTTAGAACCACAGCCTAGAGCCACAGTTTAGAACCATAGCTTAGTAACACGGCTTAGTACCACGGCTTAGTACAGTTCTGCTATGGCTCCCGTCTGAAATCCCTCCCATATGTGCTGACAGCTTGCGTGCTTCCCAGTCTGTGGCACTCCAGGGAAGGAGACACAACCGCTTTGGAGTGGTCTGGTGGAAAGGACTGAGATCAGCCAGCAGATACATGCTCTTGAGGGGGACATGAGACCCCGAGTCTCTCTCCTCCCTTCTCCTACCATAAAGCGATCAGCTTTATTCTATCATGAATTCCCTTCCACAATGTCCCCCCTCATCACAGGCCCAAAGCAACAGGGTCCACTGAGCATGGACTGAAAACTCTGAAACTCGGACCCAAATAAGCCTTTTCCCCTCAAGTTCATTCGTCTTGGGTATTTTGTCGCACGGCTAGCTACCTTATTGGATTCTGTGAGGTTTAATGTATATAGAATTACTTGCACAGTATTAGAAACTTTATTAATATTGTTTTCTTTTTTCTTCTTTGTGTGTGCGTGTGGGGGGAGGGGAGTGGGGCGGTTGAGACAGGGTTCCTCAGTGTAGCCCTGGCTGTCCTGGAACTCCCTCTGTAGACCAGGCTGGCCTCAAACTCAGAGATCTGCTTGCCTCTGCCTCCCTAGTGCTGGGATTAAAGGCGTGCACTACCATGCCTGGCTGATACTGTTTTCTTATACAGACTTTTTTTTTTTTTTTTTTTTTGAGTTTCTACTTTGAAGAGACACAAGCCCTGGGCGAGATCCTTCAGGGGACCCCAAAAGAGTTTGCTGTTCCTCCCTTGAAGGCATAAAACCAGGAGGAAGACAGCAGGCTGAGGCCGGCAGGATGAGGGAGGGCTGAAAGGTTTGCGGACTGTGTGGTAAAGAGCTATGGGAGCACTAGAAATCAGAGAATAATTCTTTTCATGAAAGATCTCTGATATCTCCTGGAGGAAGGGTGGCATGTATAACAGGTGTACTATGGGCAGGGATGAAGTGTTCCTTCAAGGCCAAGGTACCCTCAGACTGGCTGGAGAGGGGTTCACACCGGAGAACACTGCTGTTGACTAGGGCGTGTGTGAAGATGAAGGCATTTGAGTTCCAGTTCACCCTCTGGCTGGGTCTATGTTGAGAGTGTGGGCTGCAGCTGTCAGCCCACTCTGGAGGCTCTGTCCCCCCGGGGGCAGACAGAAAGGCTTTATATAGCTCAAGGAGATGCAGACAAGGGTAGGGGCCCCACTGAGCTCTTCTTTTTCCATCACTGGTCAGAGGGGGTGAGAAGGAGGAAGTACTTGGAAGCCTGGCAGAGTCCTTCCTTTCTATGTGACCTGCATTCAGACAGACCTTCATCAGGACCTGCCGTTTCTCCCAAGGTGCTGCACATTCGCCTTAACCACTTACCTCCGGCCATCCATGGACATGGACAGACTCTCCATGTGGAATATGTGTGCTTGCATCTCATGAAGGGAAATTGGGCAGATCTCATCCACGTCGAAGGGGGAGATCTCGTGCCGACCTCCCTCATCTTTGACCTCAGAGGCAAACACTTTTTCGGCAAAGCTACGCATCGCATCATCGATTTCTAGAAGAGGTTTTTCACATATTAGTTGACATTCTCATCCAAAAGCCATCCAGGAGTCTCTGGGCATCAGGCACAAGGGTTGGGATCATTTGTGTTGGTTTCGTGGCTTAGCTAACCTTCACCCAGAGCTCAGGTCTGCTCTCCCATTGGTGGAACTCTGTATGGAGCACACTTCTGGAGGGCCCTAAAGATGCAGCTAGACTCTTACAGGACAAACTCTTAATGTTAGATTGCTGGTTCCTGGCGGAGCCAAGTTTGATTTCATAGTCATCCTCAACGGAGTCCTTTCCATTGGGTTGTCTGGGTCCTCCTGGTGGTTTTAAAGACACAGGAGAAGGGCGGCTGACCCCTGGAGCTTACCACTGAGGAATCAGCAGATACAGGAAATGAATGTGGCCTCGAGAGCCCCTTCTAAGGAAAGTTTCTCTCATACAACAACCTCCATTTTTTAAAAACCTGACAACTGTGATTTGGTGTTGTGTGGTGAAAGGAGGCTGCCAAAACTTAGGACCATGTGGTAGGGGGGGCCATTCCTTCTCCAGGGCTCGGCTCACACCTCATTAGCCACCCCACACCCCACAGCTGCAGGACTTCTCCCGGCCTCTTGGTACTTCCAGAAGATAGCTCGTGAGGAATGAGGACAGCAAACAGCTAGCCGCTGGAGCAATACTGATACGGAAACTTGCCAGGGAAATGGCAGAGCACACCACACAGAGAACCACCCTCTGTGGCCGGCGTCTCTGCAGGCCTCCAAATGGTGATTGTTTTCAGCCTGATTTCATGACATAATAAGTACAAGCTTCTGCCCTGCGCTTATCAACTCCTTCACCCACCTCTGTTTCAGTTTCCTTGTGTGTTACGTGGGGGCACTAATGCCAGCCTAGCCTCACTCACCAGCCTGTTGTGACACAATGAGTGAGATAATGTGTGTGGAAACCCTTCCAGAAAAACAAAGCATCAGATTCAGCCGAATGAGGTAATTTGGCAGCATGGGGCAAGCCCACAGTTGGCTTAGCTTTGGGCCATTAAGGACGATCTGTAGTTATGACGGGATGGGATGAAGCATGCATTAGCAATGATAGCAAGTGACCCGTCACTTCACCAGTGCTGCCAGGTAAGCTACTTTCAAACCCTGGCTGGCGATGGCGGAGTTCACAGGGCAGAGACTACGCTGCCTGAACCTCGAGCATCTATCTGTGTGCCCTGTTAAGCACAAACACCTCCTGAAACCGAGAAGCATGTCTGGATGCTATTAGTGGTTCTTCGGCAAGCACATCGGTCCATGATGCAACAAATGGAACACTGAGTAGATACAAGTGATGGCTGAGCATGCCTCCCTCCCCAGCCCACTACCAGCTGATCCCTAGAAATAGCATCCTTCCTATTCCCATAGCAGCACAGGCACCTCAAAGCTGAGTGGCAGGCAGAAGTTAGAAGACGCTTCATGCATCACGAAGGGCAAATGGAAACAGGCCAGTCAGTTATGATGATGGTGAGGAGGGGGCAATGCCATGGCTTGTCCTGCTGGGTCTGTGGCAGTGCTTCTGAAGACCTCAGGAAGGACAGACACGAAATCCCATCTGGGGATGCCTTGGCTCTTCTGGAGCAGCGTTTGTTATCTGGGACTGTTCGTATCCATTTGTTATATATGTATATATCTTTACTAAGGTTTTATCTCTCTAAACCACTACGACAGTTGAAAGTAAACGTTATAATCTTAAGTAGCTTACACGAGGACCAAAAATGATATGGTTGATATTTGGTTCCACAGAATTAAACAGCTGTTTTGACTCCATGCAAGCACAGCTGAAATTTGATCTCTAATTCAAGAAAGAGCCTTGCCTTTCCAACTACCTCAGGGCATGGTGGCTGTGGGAAGGAAAAATGGAACTAGTATTTTAAAAGTAAGTAGATAAAATGTGAAGACAACCCAAATCAGGAAGGAGAAATGGTCTCCTCATGCTTGCATAGATAATTGCTGACTCCCTCTGAGTATGTTGTTTGAGATCATGGGACATCTGAGAGGTGGTGTCCAGGAGACAGGACATCTTTATCAGGACAAAGAGGAAAAAGAAAGGTAAAGTGGCAAACTAGGGCACTGGATTAAGGTGAGAAAGGGTGTCCGTGACATCTGGGTAGCCTTGGGAAACCATAGTCACCAGGAGCCTCAGGTTCATCATCATAAAAGGGGAACGTTAGTAAGAAGTCAGCCTCAGAATGCTGCTCTGAAGATCACACATGACATGTTTAAACGCTGCAGGTCTCTCCCTGACATATGGGATTACCAATGCAGGAAGTACACGGCTTGAGAAAAAGATCACCATGCTTGCTTCCACACCCGAGAACCAACCCAGAAACCCAGGTTTATTTTCCAGCAGAGTTATCCGTGTGTGGGGAAGGCCAGCTTGCAGGCCTCCCACCTCCCACATCTCATCTTACAGGAACTTGGAGGCAGAACTACATCAGTCAGCAAAAGAACAGTAGACTCGAGAGACGGGGGAACACACCACTAAAGCTAGTTTATCTAAAATCATGTTTTATCTGGCCAAAAAATTCACAATGATTTTTTTTTTTTTTTTGCACTAGAGTTGAGGATCATAAAAGGCAAGGTTTAGCAGACCTCTGCTGACTCATCTGTATGTTTTATTTCGAAGTAGCCAACAAGCAACAAGAGGTAGCCTCTATTTGCTTGTGTGTTTTGTTGTTGTATTTTAAAACAGGGTCTCCCCAAGGAGGCCAGGCTGACCTTGAACTCTCCATTCTCCTGCCTCAGCCCCCCTAGTGTTGAGATTACAGGTGTTCGGCATCATGTTGGGCTCATGTTTCCTTTAGGAGGAGAAAGGGTAGTGGGTGTTTTAGATTTAGTGTTTGTGTTTTGGAAACCCAGGGAATCCACGAAGGCGGCCGTTTGCTAGCTCTGGTTATTATTCATTGCTACTGGCTTGTGGTGGTTCCAGCTATAAACACTGCTGAGAAATAAGCACCTTTGCGAGTTAAGAAACACTGTCATTTCTTTTACAGATACTTGCAAGTGGCAGGAAAAATAGTCCAAGATACTCACGTTTTCCTTGACCTGTGTGAAGTAAAACAAAACAAGACAGAACATGTGAACAGCTCTGAGCACTCGTCATGATCATGAACTCGGGCTTTGGGAAACCGCACGAGGGCTCCACAGAAAGAGTGGGACAAAGTGCCGTTTCAGCCCATCTTCTAGGCTCGCCCTGTTCTGCCCAAGGACATCACAGGGATAAATAAGGTCGTTACATATGTTTCATCCCCTTCCTTACTAACGTGTGTCTTTAACACATATTACTACTCTTTTAAAAAGTGCTTCTTTGGGGGACTGTGGTGCTGGGGGTTGAACCTGGGGCCTTGCACATGCCAATGTCAAGCTCACACTCCACTACTGAGCCACATTCCCCTAAAGGTATTTTTTGTAGGGTGGAAATGGAAAAGAAAACAAAACAAAGTAACCTGATGAGGAGGACTAGGAACTCTCCAACAATGCTGGAATAGGTACACAAAACCAGCTTATTTAGTAAACCACTGAACCACCATTTCTGAGACCCAGTTCCATGGAAATACAGAGAAAGTTTTAGATGCACAAGGTCAAGAGGACATTTATGCATATAAAATATGGTTAAAAAAAATTAAGAAAACTGGAATATCATACAACCATTTCAAATGGTTTTAGGAAGTGTTTGGAATAAATACATAATAAGTCACATTATAACAGTAAGCTAAAGCATACTCCTGCCCAAAAGCTATACAGTCACTGGGCAACACAAATACAATTGTGTTCTTCAAAGCATCTTTACTTTTACATAGGACAGACAGAGAAGCTGAATTCCAAAATGTTGAGTGGATCCTTGAACCATTGGCAAGACAATATGACTTTTAAAACTACTGCTTTCTAATTTCTCTGAGTGTTTATTACTTTAACTTTTGGTGTAATTATTCTTTTTATTTCACATGCCTGGCTTTTTATAGTGAAACATACATACAATTGATTTCTTTTTTTAAAAAAATCCTCTGAGTGCAAGTGTGGCCTGTAAAGCACTGGAACATTCTGGGTTAAAGTTCCTGCCATGCTCATGATCTTTCATACACTGTAGACAAACAGTCCTTCTCCGGTCTGTGAAAGCTTAGCTTTTGCTCAGAGTAGTCAAAGAGACAGCTCAGCTTTCAAAGACATAGTTTGAGAAAATAACCCTCTTCCTACAACCAGAAAGAAAGCCAACTTGAAGATGCTTTGCCTCTCTCTGACGTGCACATCTGAAGCTTTTATGGATCCTAAACAAAGGATTCCTGAAGCCGGCATGGCAGTTAATGGAATGGTTGCATATGGAAAAGAAATCCCTGAGTTCTCCAAATACTTTCTGCACACCTACCTGTAAGTTTGAACAGAGGCATTGTGGCTGGGATCCTTGATTCTAGGAGAGCACAGCAGAGGAAGGAGAGAGGGGCTGTGGGGGTGGCTGACCGACACTTTGAAATACTGGGACACTCATTTTATTATTTTGTTTTGCCCCCTGTAACCTGACCCTTCCCTGCTAAAAGGAGAGATGAGCTTCAGACCTATTTATAGCTTTAAGCAATGACAGTGACAAACAGGGGAAGCCTCCAATCTTTATCTTGGGATTTTAGAGAAGGTAGCTGTAGTGGCTGGAAATCAAATTCCACACCCACCATACATCATGCTGGCTCATCAAGTGTGACTTTCTCAGACAATGTGACCTGCATCTATTTTTTTTTTATTCCACTTACGTCAGAGTCTCCTGGGCTCTGAAAACAGGTGTCCTAACACCAGGAGAGCTTTCTGTGTTTGGTGAATGCCCTGGTACATTCATCAAGTCCTCAGCACACACTCTCACACACATACACACACTTACACATCACCCAAACACACACTGTTACTATCTGTGTGGCCTCATTATTTGAAAGGCTAACTATGACTGGCCTGGGCAGTAGCAGATAGCGAGCAAGAAAGATAAAGCTCCTACTGAAATTCTAACAAACAATATCTAATAAAACACTTTTTCAAACCAGGCATGATGGAATACACGTGCACTCAGGAAGTAGAGACAGGATCAGAAGTTCATGGTCATCCTTAGCTACATAGCAAGTTAAGACTATGTTAACTTTGTAAACCTTAGTAAATCTTAGTTAACTTATATGGTACATGAAACACCATCTCAAAAACAAAATTTCTAAGATCAGGCAGTGCTGTGGGATGTTCTGTATGGCAAATGTGTTGCTGATTGGTCAATAAATAAAACACTGATTGGCCATTGGCTAGGCAAGAAGTATAGGCAGGACAAGGAGGAAAATAAAGCTGGGAAGTAGAAGGCTGAGTCAGAGACACTGCCAGCCGCCACGATGACAAACAGCATGTGAAGATGCCAGTAAGCCATGAGCCACGTGGCAAGGTATAGATTTATAGAAATGGATTAATTTAAGCTATAAGAAAAGTTAGCAAGAAGCCTGCCACGGCCATACAGTTTGTAAGCAATATAAGTCTCTGTGTTTACTTGGTCGGGTCTGAGCGGCTGTGGGACTGGCGGGTGAGAGAGATTTGTCCTGACTGTGGGCCAGGTAGGAAAACTCTAGCTACAAATGGCGCCCAACGTGGGGCACGAGTTTCCACCTAAAAACTGAGAAAAAAGATTCTAAAACTGAGCTAAAAACAGTTCCTAATTGTCTCTCTCAAATGAGCGGCAGCTGCCAGTTTGAGCTACTGACGGGTTCCTAGAGTGTGTGCTTGACCTGCCGCTGGATGGCGGGAATGAGGCCTCTGCAAGTGGCACATTAAGCTGCGTGGTGGATTTAGCCTTTGCAGGTACAAAACAAAAAAAGAGGTTTCTGAACTACACGCTGCTTGGATAAAAGCATAGACCCACGATAGCTCCCAGAGCTGGTGGTAAAGTACCACGGCCATGTTGGGAAGCTGAGGTGGGCGGAGCCAGCAGCCACAGCTGCTGCAGCTTAAAGCAATAGATTCACAATAAGACAGATTCAGATGTAATAGTTTGCAATGTGTGTAAAATATATGTAGGCTTAAAAGAGACAAAAAAGGTGATATATACAGTTATAAAAAAAATACATAGTTTTAAAAAATAAAGTCTTTAAAGAGACAGTAAAATTAATATAAAAAATAAGCCACGTAAAAATGCATATTACACAGAGAATCTGGATTGTGTTGTCTTTGGGATTTTTTTTTTTTTTTTGGTTTTTCGAGACAGGGTTTCTCTGTGTAGCTTTACGCCTTTCCTGGAACTTGCTTTGGAGACCAGGCTGGCCTCGAACTCACAGAGATCTGCCTGGCTCTGCCTCCAGAGGTCTTTGGGATTTTTAACTGCAGAAAAACATTTGATTGTAAAAGCTGTTGAGTTATGCCAAAATGTATATTTTAAAGGTACCTTGACTTCAAAATTTGTATATAAGGATATGTTGTTTTGGAAAGGAGACTCTACTTTTGTTCCCACAGAAAGTCAAAGGCTATGGATTTGTTCCAGATTAAGATACATCAGGTTTGACCAGCCAAGACCCCCTGAAGGGTCTCCGATGGATGACACCATGACCCAAATGATCCAATATCCAGAATGGTTTGAAGGCAACTGGCTCAGACAATACAGCCTCATGGACTATTCCATAATTGTAAAATTTTCTTTGTTTCCCCATAAGATACAGTGCCCCCCCCCTCCAGCAGGAAGTAGTAAGAGAAGCTACGCCCAAATTCCCAAATTATATATAATTTTACTTTGTTAAGGTTAAAACCTTCCTTTTTGAAAAAAAAAGAAAAGGGGAAGTGCTGTGGGATGGTCTGTATGGCAAATGTGTTGCTGATTGGTCAATAAATAAAACACTGATTGGCCAGTGGCCAGGCAAGACGTATAGGCGGGACAAGGAGGAAAATAAAGCTGGGAAGTAGAAGGCTGAGTCAGAGAGACACTGCCAGCCGCCACGATGACAAACAGCATGTGAAGATGCCGGTAAGCCACGAGCCACGTGGCAAGGTATAGATTTATAGAAATGGATTAATTTAAGCTATAAGAAAAGTTAGCAAGAAGCCTGCCACGGCCATACAGTTTGTAAGCAATATAAGTCTCTGTGTTTACTTGGTCGGGTCTGAGCGGCTGTGGGACTGGCGGGTGAGAGAGATTTGTCCTGACTGTGGGCCAGGCAGGAAAGCTCTAGCTACAAGGTGTTAACATAGGTGTACTGTGAAGAAAACAAAACACACTGATTTCTACTGGTGAAAGACGACTTTCAGCTGATGCTGTGACTCAGGACAGGAGTAGCCCACTCCTTAGTGCTTAAAGAAAAATGGGGGCTGGAGTTGGCTCCGAGGTTCAGAGCACTTGCTCCTGCAAAGGTCCTGGGTTTGGTTTCTGGCATGCATATGACAGCTCAGAACCTTCTGGAACTTCAACCCCAGGGGATTGAATGTTCCCTTTTGGCCTCTTAGGGCACCCACTCTACACACAGAGCACTTACATATACACAGGCATAACACAAATACATTAAACTTGGTTTCAAATCTTTAAAAATCTTGAAATTACATTTTTTTTTTCCAAGACAGGGTTTCTCTGTGTAGTTTTGATGCCTGTCCTGGATCTCACTCTGTAGACCAGGCTGGCCTCGAACTCAAGAGATCCAACTCACTCTGCCTAATTCTGCCTCCCAAGTACTGGGATTAAAGGCATGTGCCACCACCGCCCGGCAAAATTACATTTTTAAAATGTATTTGTGCTGTATGGAAAACAGAGTACAACTTTTGAGAGTCAGTTCTCTCCTTCTACGATGTGAGTTCCAGGAACGGGGTTCAGGTAGTCAGGCTTGGCAGTGTGTTCCTTTACCTGCTGAGGCATTTCACGGTCCCCAGGATTGTTACTAGTATGGAGTTTAGATACTGCACACATTTCAGTGACTCCATCCATGAATGGCATAGTGCACTCTCAGATCACCTACTCCTCTCTCAAAAACAGTTGGGGCTGGAGGGATGGCCCATTGGTTAAGAGTGCTTGCAGAGGACCTAAGTTTGATTCCCAGCCCCACAGGAAATGACTCACAACCCCCTGCAACTCTAGCTCCAGCTCTGACACCCTCTTCTCGCCTCCTTGGGTACATACACTCATGTATGTATATCTCTCTGTCTCTCAAACCCAGAATCTCAGAGCCTACTAGACAAGTGTTCTACCACTGAACTACACCTCTAGCCTCAGCATTGATTGATTTTTCTTGAGACAAATCCTCACTATGAAGTCCAGTAGAGCCTCCAACTCTTCATCCTCCTTCCTCTGCCTCCTGAGCTGTGCCAGCAGTTTGGTTCCACTTTCTCTCAGAATGGAATGAGAACAGTAGCTTGCTCTCCATGCTTATGGAGTCTGCTCCTATGGACTGAAAACAGTTTTTTTTGTTGTTGTTGTTGTTTTGTTTTGTTTTTTGCCTTAAAAAAACATAATTCATTATTGATTCTTTGGAAATCTCTCATCATGCACCTATCCCATTCACCTCCTAGTCCCTCAGCCCCCACCTGAGATCCTAGGCAAGGCTATGGAGTCCTACACAGACCATCCCTCCTGCATAGGCTCTGTGGCTATTGGGTGGGTGGGCCAGTGGGACACAGGCAGCGGAAACTTCTCCTTCCTGGTGCCCATTGGGGTGTGCCTCCTCCCAGGGTCCCTGAACCCTTCCCTCTCACCCCTGCAGTGTGCCCCCACCCCAGCTAATTAAGAACAAAACAAAGCAAGCAAGCGAACAAACAAAACCCCACGTGCTTCTCCTTTCCAACCCCTCTCCATTCATCCTAGTGGCGTCTGGAGCTGCCCCCGTATGTAACGCAGTACGCTCCTTTGTCCAGTCAGCCCCACCCACAAATGGTCATTGCGGTGAGTCATCGACTGGTCCAAGGCCTCTGATTTCTGACTCACCATCATCAATGGGCCCTCATCAAAACGCCTCTCAGATACCCTGTTGTTGTTGCCTTGAGACATGGAGATCTTACAGTTATCCTTCTGCAGGATCAGTCCCTCTCGAGCTCAAGCGGGTCATAGAGATGGGGCAGCTGTTAGAGTAGGCCAACCCAAGGCCCAGGATGTGGGTCTGAGTGGTAGCTGAGCTGGCCAGTTGGGGCCACTGGGACCGCCCCTCACGTGAGGGGCAGGGCCAGCTCTCACAGGCCCATGCCATCAGGGCCAGCTCTCCCATACCTGTGATCCCAGCACTCAGGAGGCAGAGGTTATCTGATCTTTGTCAGATCAAGGCCAGCCTGGTCTACATGTTAAGTTCCAGGACAGGCAAGCAGGTGCTACATAGTAAGAACTGATTTTTTGTTGTTGTTGTTGTTTTGGTTTTTTTAAATTAATTAATTAATTAATTATTTTCTATTATCAGCTTGATACAGTATAAATTCTTATCTTAATAGTGAAATGTTTCACTGAGGCTTGCCCAGTGATTGAGTAAAACCAAAACTTATTATAAGCCACAGTCATCCTAGGGTCTCCACTGCTATATAGCCTCCCTGGTTCTGTGGGTTGCAGTCTGATTATTCTTTGCTTTATATCTAGTATCCACTTATGAGTGAGTACATACCATGTTTGTCCTTCTGGGTTTGGGTTACTTCACTCAGGATGATATTTTCTAGTTCCATCCATTTGTCTGTAAATTTCATGCTGTCATTGTTTTTCTCTGCTGAGTAGTACTCCATTGTGTATATGTACCACATTTTCTTAATCCATTCTTCAGTTGACGGGGCATCTAGGTTGTTTCCAGGTTCTGATTATTACGAATAGTGCTGCTATGAACACAGTTGAGCATGTATCTTTGTGGTATGCTTGCACATTCCTTGGGTATATGCCCAAGAGTGGTATGGCTGGGTCTTGAGGTAGAGCAATTCCCAATTTTCTGAGAAATCGCCATACTGATTTCCACAGTGGTTGTACAAGTTTGCATTCCCAGCAATGGTGGAGGAGTGTTCCCTTTGCTCTGCATCCTCTCCAACATTGACTGTCGTTAGTGTTTTTGATCATAGCCATTCTGACAGGTGTAAGATGGTATCTCAGAGTCGTTTTGATTTGCATTTCTCTGATGACTAAAGATGTTGAGCCTTTCTTTAAATGTCTTTCAGCCATTTGAGATTCTTCTTTTGAGAATTCTCTGTTTAGCTCTCCTACAACTGATAAACTCCTTCAGTAAAGTGACAGGATACAAGATCAACCCTAGAAAATCAGTAGCCATCCTATATACAAATGATAAAAGGGATGAGAAAGAAGTCAGAGAAACATCACCCTTTATAATATCCACAAATGATATAAAATACCTTGGGATAACAATAACTAAACAAGTGAAGGACCTGTTTGATAAGAACTTTAAATCTCTAAAGAAAGAAATTGAAGAAGATATCAGAAAATGGAAGGATCTCCCATGCTCATGGATAGGTAGGATTAACATAGTAAAAATGGCAATCTTACCAAAAGCAATCTACAGATTCAATGCAATCCCCATCAAAATCCCAACACAATTCTTCACAGACTTGGAAAGAACAATATTCAACTTCATATGGAAAAACAAAAGACCCAGGATAGCCAAAAGAATCCTGTATAATAAAGCAACCTCTGGAGGCATCATCATCCCTGACCTCAAGCTCCACTATAGAGCTATAATAATAAAAACAGCTTGGTACTGGTATAAAAACCGACATACAGACCAATAGAATAGAATTGAAGACCCTGACATTAATCCACGCACATATGAACACCTGATTTTTGACAAAGAAGCCAAAACTGTACCGTGGAAAAAAGAAAGTATCTTCAACAAATGGTGCTGGCATAACTGGATGTCAACATGTAGAAGATTACAAATAGATCCATATCTGTCACCATGCACAAAACTCAAGTCCAAGTGGATCAAAGACTTCAACATAAATCCAGTTACACTGAACTTGACAGAAGAGAAAGTAGGAAGTACTATTGAATGCATTGGCACAGGAGATCACTTCCTAAATATAACACCAGTAACACAGACCCTGAGAGCAACAATTAATAAATGGGACCTCTTGAAACTGAGAAGCTTTTGTAGAGCAAAAGACATGGTAAATAAGACAAAAAGACAGCTTACAGAATGGGAAAAGATCTTCACCAACCC